CAAGCTCCTGCTGCCGCCCTTCTTGTTGGCCTCACCTCGGCATACGAAGTCACAAGGAAAATGCTCCTCACGTCCTCGGCGGAAGACCTCACCTTTGCTAAGGTCTCCTCCGCCCTCCTCTCCGCCGAGAAAGACTCCTCGGCCCAAGCCAAGGCCTATGCCCTCCGTGCTCCCTTGCCTCAAGCAAGTGTCGCACCGGCACTCGCCTCGGCGCCCTTTCAGCGCAACCGCTTCCCTCCATGCACCTACATCGTCAAGTATGGCAACCGCAAGGGACAAGTGTGTGGTGGCACTAACCACCCCCTCGCCACGTGCTTCAAGAAGAAAGACGACGAATGGTATGCCATCCATGGAGTCGACAAGAAGCCGCCGAATTGGATGCGCTCTCGTAAGGCCAACGTAGTTGAGGCACATGACCCCGCTCAAGCTAGTGCTAGTGATAGTGCTCCTGTTGATGTGCGCATCAACTTGTTGTTCCCTGGCACTGCCATGATTAATGAAGCAAGCTCGCAGTACATCGGCTCATCACAAGCACCACAGTACATAGAATCCACACTTGACAGCGGGGCCACTCACACTGTGCTCAAGGAGACATTCTCCTTCAAACCCTACGCAACACCCATTCCTCTCTTGGGAGCTGATTCAAGCTTCACCACTCTTGCCAAGGGTTCGTCCACTGTCCCGTGCCCCGCCTTCCCATCCGGTACTGTCACTGGCATGTGCGTGCCCTCACTACGCCACAATCTATTGGCTCAACAAGAACTTCAGAAGGCTGGGCTCCGCACCATAATCTCAACGAGGACTATTGTGACGTCATCGGCCCACTCACCAACAAGGTCTTGGCTCGCTTCACCCTCAATAGCAGCGGCCTTAACACGCTGCGAGTACCTATCCCACAGGTGTCAACCACCCAAGCACAGGCTGCTACCACACCATGCTCATGTCGCAGCTTCTCGAACCCGACCATCCTCTACCACCATCGGCTCGGGCACCCAAACTTCCGCACGCTTGCTGAGATGGCCTCCAAGAAGCTTCTTCTCGGCCTGCCAGCCTCACTTCCTCCACCACCTGACTCACCCGCTCCCACGTGCCTTGACTGTACCAAGAGCAAGCTACGCCAACAGCCCCACCCTGCCTCACCCTCAGTAGCAGCAGCCCCACTGGACCTAGTGCACATGGACGTCTGGGGCCCTGCACCGGTTGCCGCACGTGGTGGCCATCGCTATTTCCTTCTGATAGTTGATGACCACACTCGCTACGTCTCTGTGCACCTCCTCCACACTAAGGCTGAGGCCCCTGAGGCAATCATGGCATGGGTTAACCAGGCACATACCTCTTTTGGCACCAAGGTCAAGCGTCTCCATTCGGATGGTGGTGGTGAATTTTGCAACGACAAGCCCAAAGCCGTCTGCTCTTCCCTTGGCATCCTGCAAAACTTCACCCTGCCTGACAGCCCGCAGCAGAACGGCATAGCAGAGAGCCGCAATCACACACTGGCGCAGATCACTCGCTGCCTCCTCAGCCACTCCAACGCACCACTCTCACTCTGGGGATACGCCCTCTATCATGCCGCCCTCCTCTACAACCTCTACCCCCACCCGCATCTTCCCGACACCACTCCCACCACACTCTGGCTCGGAAAAACACCCACTGCTCGCCCCCTTCGCGTCTGGGGGTGCACCGCCTATGTACTCCTCAACCCCCAGGCTCGACGGCGGCACGGTGGCAAGCTTGGTCCCAAAACTCAAACGTGCATATATCTTGGGCACAACTCTGACTCCCCTGACTACCTTTTCCTCAACCCCTCCACTCAACAACTCGTCCGGAGCCGAGATGTCGTCTTTGATGAGACTCGCCCCTTCTACTCTACCTCGGGGGGGGATCCCCCCTCCGGACCACCCTCTCTTGTGTGGGCTGACTTTGATGCGCCTTCTGAACCTCCGCCTGCACCAGCCCCCTCACCTCCTGCTTCTCCTGCCATCGCCCCATCCCCGTCTGAGGTCTCTGACCCGACCTCTCCGGTGTCCTCGGCAGCTGCTCCTCCATCCCCCCCCTCTGCCACTCTGCCAACTGCGCCCCCACCACCAAGCGCACCAATCACATACCATCAGCGGTCGAACCCTCCCGCCCCACCTCCTCCCCCCGTTCCCTCCTCCACTCAGGAACCTGCTCTCCCACAGCCGAGCAAACTAATCACGTACCAACGACGGCCGATCCCTCCCCCCAAGCCCCCTAAGCCGTCCCCTCCAGGAATGCCTGCTCCACCCTCTTCTCCGGTGGCTCATGGCACTTGGTCGCATGGGGCTGCTCCTCCACTGGCACTTGCCATTCGATGCTCAGTGATCACTCCGACTCCTCCTGCTGGGGGGGATGTACCCTCTACTCTTCTGGAAGACAGGCATGAGGAGCTGTGTGATCTCCACGCTGTCATTCCTCAGCTTTCGCACATCTTCCCCGATATCACTGAATCCCCCTCGCTCAACTTCTCGGAGAACCCGACCATTCCTATCCCTCTCACCGTCCAAGAGGCTCTTTCGGGTCCCCATGCTGCCGAGTGGCGCGCTGCCATGGCAGCTGAGTGTGAAGCCTTCACTCGCAACCACTCCTTTGACGATGAAACTCCACCTCTAGGAGTTAACTTCGTTGGGGCAAGTGGCTGTTTCGAGTGAAGCAGCTTCCGGACGAGGCACCAGTGTTCAAAGCACGCTATGTGGCCAAGGGATTAACCCAGCAGCAGTCTTTTGACTTCTTCAAAACCTTCTCCCCCACATCCAAACCACCCACAGTTCGCACACTCTTGGATGTAGCCGCACGAGACGACTTTGAGATCAAATCCATGGACGCCTCTTCAGCATTTCTGCAAGGACACCTCAAGGAGACTGTGTTTATGGACCGACCTGAAGGCTTTCCAGGAGAGTTCCCTCCCAACACTGTCTGGAAGATGAATCGCCCTGTTTACGGCCTCAAACAAGCCCCTCGTGAATGGCACAATAAAGTGAAAGAAGTCCTTCTCTCCTTGGACTTTCACCCATCATCTGCTGACCCGACTCTCTTCATTCGCCGTCACTCTGAGCCATTCTACATCCTTGTCTACGTCGATGACTTCATCCTCGTCGCCATGGACTCGGCCCAGATGACCTCTGTCCAGGCGGCCCTGAGCAAAGCCCTCCTGATGAAAGACCGCGGTGACCTCAAGCACTACCTGGGGATGGAGATCACTCGTGATCGCCAGGCTCGCACCATCTCACTCTCCCAGGAGTTCTACATCAACAATGTACTCAAGCGCTTTGAGATGGAGTTGTGCACACCCATGGCCACCCCGCTGCCACTACAGCACCTCCTCACCGCTCCAGCTGTCCCCACACCAGAGGCCTGCACTGAGCCATACCCAGAGCTTGTTGGGTCCCTCATGTATGCCATGATGTGCACCCGGCCTGATCTGGCATACCCTGTCAGTGTCCTCTCTCGCTATGTGGCTCATGGACGCTTCACTGACCTCCACTGGAAAGCGGCAAAGTGGGTGCTGCGCTATCTGCAGGGAACCAAGACTCATGTCCTCACCCTTGGTGGGGTTTCTCCTCCTCGACTGGAAGGGTACACAGACTCCTCCTGGGCTGATGACCAGACCGACCGACACTCCTCCCAAGGCTACTGCTTCACCCTTGGGAGCGGAACTGTCAGCTGGCGCTCCACCCGGTCGTCTGCAGTCTCCCTCTCCTCCTGTGAGGCAGAGCTCTATGCTGGCACCATGGCGGCTCAGGAGGCCCGCTGGCTCACCTTCCTACTCCAGGAGCTTGGCTACCCTCAGCCCACCCCCACCCTCTGGTGTGACAACAAGAGCACCATCCACCTCTCCCAGGATCCCGTGTACCACACTCGCACCAAGCACATCGAACTTCGGCACTTCTTCATCCGTGACCTTGTCCAGCGGGAGCAGCTCAATGTGGAGTATGTGGCTTCTGACTGCAACTTGGTTGATCTGTTCACCAAGCCCCTTGGGAAGGTTCCTCACCATCGCCTTCTCGGCGCCATGGGGCTCTGCGCTCCACCTTCTCTGCCATGAGTTCGATTGACGCCTATGGGGGGGTGTTAATGTTAGCCCTCAATCTCACATTTGTACTTGTACTTTTTATATCCTAGTTTAGTGTAAATTGCACTTTGTGTTTGGTTGGGTGTACACCCACATCCCAACCAAACCCAAATGTGATCTCCAAGCAATCTCCAACCCACCAATTGGAGATTGCCTTGGGATTACCCCCAATTCCCTAGGATTGCCCCCGATTCTCTCCCCACCCTTACCTTGCCCATTTCCAATGTACTTAAAGAGCCTTGAGCTCATTACTAATGCATGGATTCTAAGCTCAAGTTCTAACAGCAGGAACACTCAGGGCCTGAGGGCAAGAAGGAAAGAAGCATGGGGAAGGAGGGTGAGAAGAGCAAGGGTGGGACCGGCCAAGGGATGGGTGAGTAAGAAGTAGTCTCTGACAGCTGTCACCGAATGTAGTGGCAAGTACAATAACATTCTGTTATACGCTAGAGTTGGTGTAGTAAAGTGTAGGGTGGGGTTATGCAACTTTCCGTGGGGGTTGTTGGGCATCAGGGGAATGACGCGAAGTTGGTAGCATGGGGAATTGGGACATTGGGAAGAGTAACAAGCGCCTCGAGGAGCAGGAAATCTGCAGCGACCAATAAGGCACAAGGCGACCCGAATCCAACCCAAGGCTGAGAAATTGGCCGTGACACAGGGTGGGAATAAAGTAGCCTAGCCTAGCCTAGCCACTAGAACCTGTTCTCTCGTCTTGTTTGCCTACTATAGTGGATCTACTTCACCGAACTAAGGCTACAGCAGCTAGGTGATACGCCACTGAGGGCAGCCATCTTGTGGGAGCTGGAATCTCTCAAGGTAGTGGCTGAGGCAGGAACACTCAGGGCCTGAGGGCAAGAAGGAAAGAAGCATAGGGAAGGAGGGTGAGAAGAGCAAGGGTGGGACCGGCCAAGGGATGGGTGAGTAAGAAGCAATCTCCGACACTGTACTTTATTTATTCTTGTCTTTGCATTATCTTCTGGCCAGTTTTAGCCATGGTTTCATTTCAGATTCAGTTTAGGTTCGTTTTAAAGGTATTTTTCTAGACTGAATATGCCCTAGGTTCATTTGGGGTTTCACCCCAACCAACCCTCTTTCGTTGTTCTATCATCTTCTCAAGGAAATTTTTTTCCTCACCATCCACCTCCTTTTCCTTTCCCTCCTCTCTCCTCACTGCAGCGAGGGTCTCTGTTCTCTACTGGGAGGCCGCACGCGGCTGGCAGTGAGTGTCATCTGGACGCTCGACCCCTCCCACCACTTCGCACTCGTGGGGCCGCCTTGGTTCGGCCGAACCGTCATCCGATCCAACCACCAGGTGACCCGTCATCCGATCCAACCACCAGGTGACCGGTGCTGTGGATATGGAATTGCAGTGATGGAAATATACACCTCATGTGCTTCTTTGTTGGCATTCCACGCTCTTGACTCTCCTCTCGTGTACTACCCCTTGTTTCTTTTCTCCGTTTTGCCATGCTCTTCACGCATGCTCTTATTGGTATCTGCTTGCTTGTCTTGATCTCCCCCCCCCCCCCCCTCTCCCGTCCCTATGGTCCCCGCACACCCCCTCCTCCCTCCAGTCTCACCCTTCCCATCTGCAAATCTCTCGTACACTGCTGTAGAGGCAACAACGCCTGGCTGGCAGGCGGGCCAAGAGAGAGGGCACACATGTCTCCCTCCTCCTGCTCCTCCTCCTTTCCCATCCCCTCACTCACCCCTCCTTTCCCTCCTCACAGCTCTCGTATCCCAGGCACAGGCCACTGCTGGAGGAGCATCACCTGGCAGGCGGGGGGAAACACATCACACCCACACTCCCCTCTCCTGTCTCCCCATCTCCCCCCTCTGGCAGCTCTCGTACGCCCAGGCGCAGGCCATAGCAGATGGAGTCATCCACTGCTGGATGAACATCGCGTGGCAGACGAGGCGAGGGAACGAAGGTGCACACACACACATACCCACTCAACCCTCCTCTTCCACTCCCCCTCCGCCCCCTCCCTCCCATCACAGCTCTCGTACGCCCAGGCAGAGGCCATAGCAGACGGAGTGCATCCGTTGCCAGCGGAAGTGGCACAGCACACTCACTTCTCCCCTCGTGCTCCTCTCCCTCCCTTCCTCTCCCCCTCACAGCTCTCGTACGCCCAGGCACAGGCCATAGCAGACGGAGTGCACCTGCTGCCAGCGGAACACCGCCTGGCAGGCGGGCTGAGAGAGGTGGCGCACAGCACACTCATGCTCCTCCCCCGCCCCACTTCCATCCCCCCCCCCCCCCCCCCCCCCACCCCCCCCACTTCCATCCCCCCGCCCCTGCCCCGCTGCACAGCTCTCGTACACGCAAGCACAGGCCATAGCAGACGGAGTGCATCCACTGCCAGCGGAACACCAACTGGCGGGCGGGCAGAGGGAGGTGGCTCGAGCAAAGACGTGCATCGCCACTCTTACTGCTTTTGTTCGGGTCAGTACGGAACCCTGTTGTCAAGGGGGCGTGTGGCGCTGGTTGGCTGGCTGGGTTGAGAGGTGAGGTTGAGAGAGCGAACAACGCCCTCAGGGCTAACAACGCCCTCAGGGCTAACAACGCCCTCAGGGCTAACAACGCCCTCAGGGCTAGCCTGAGTTGCAGGAGGAGGAAGTGATGGAGCTCAGAGGAAGGATGCTTACAGAGGAGGGGAGGAGGTGTGAGGCAGAGCGGGCTGCAGAAGCGGTGAAAACAGAGTTTCGGGAAGCGGGTGCTGCAGCTGCGGCCCTGGCTCGCGAGAAGGCTGCGTTGGAAGAGCAGCTTCGAGAGATGCAGAGTCGGGAGAAGCGGGGTGAGGAGGAGAGGAGGGAGCTGGAAGAGGGTCTGAGGTGGGAGAACGTTTCCCTCTTCCAGCTCCCTCCTCTCCTCCTCACCCCGCTCCTCCCGACTCTGCATCTCCCGAAGCTGCTTTTCCAACGCAGCCTTCTCCCGAGACAGGGCCTCAGCTGCGACACCCGCTTTCCGAAGCTCTATTTTCACCGCTTTTTGCCGCTCGCTCTGCCTCACACCTCTTCCCCTCCTCTGTAAGCAACCTTCCTCTGAGCTGCACTTGAGTTCTTTCCCCACATTATTCGTATGGCTTCCTCCCTCCCCCCATCATCTGGCTACTTGCCTTCCCCCCTCCATTACTGGACTTACTCAGTTGCAGGAGCTGCGCGGCAGGGGCAGCTGGCGAGGGCGCTGGAGCTGGCAAGTGTGGAGCAGAGCTCTGGTCCCTCCTTACATGGCTCCCTCTTCTTTCCTCCTTCCTTCTCATTGCTGATCCCAAGAGCTGCGGCGGCAGAGGAAGAGGGCGGGCGCGCTATAACTGGCAAGTGCGAAGCAGAGCTCTGTTCCCTCTCCTCTTTTACTCCCACCACCACCACCCCCTTCTCATTGCTGATCCCAGGAGCTGCGGCGGCAGAGGCAGAGGGCGGGGGCGCTGGAGCTGGCGAGTGCGGAGCTGCGGTTCGAGTTTGATGAGGGCAGAGGGACGCCCAAACGAGTGTTCTGCAAACAGGAGATCCTGGTGGGTGGGTTGGTGGTGGTGAGTGAGTGTGAGGGGAGGAGGTGGTGGTGAGAGGGCGGGTGCGCTGGGGCTTGCAGTGAAAGCTGCGGTTTGAGTTTGGTGAAAACAGAGGGGCGCCCAAACGGGTGTTCTGCAAGCAGGAGATCCCGGTGGGTGGGCTGGGCTGGTGAGGAAGGGGAGGCGGTGGTGCGAGTGTGGGTACGCTGGGGCTTGCCGTGAGAGCTGCCATTTGAGTTGGACGAGAGCACAGGGCCGCCCAGGAGAGTGTTCTGCAAGCAGGAGATTCCGGTTAGTGAAAGCAGGGATCGTGGTGAGGGGGGGGTTATAGTTAGACTCGATATCACCGGAAGTAGTGAGAAGGGTTGGTGGTGAAAGAGGGGTTGTGCTCGGTTCTGAGAATCCACAAAACCGATCTACTGCATGCTTGGCTAGCTAGCCAGTGCCTCCTTCCACTTCCACTCGCTTGCAACTCTCCTCCCTTTTGTTGTACCACACACCCCCTTCATCCTCCCGGAACAGAACGCACGGCTTCCCCTCCCCCCTGCGGTGCATCACATGCTGCTCGCCAACACTGCGGTTCCGTCCTCACCTGAACGTCCCCCCTCTGGTGGCAGAGCTCACACTGCTCGCCAACGCCGTCCCTCACTCCTATGCAATCCTCCTCCCTCACTCTCCAGCACTCTCTCCCTCACTTCTCCCTGTCCGCTGCCGGCCATCAGATGGACGCGGTGGTGGCAGATCTCTTGGTGCCGTGCCCTCCAATGCTGCTGTATCCCGTGCGATTCTCCTTCCTCATTCGCCAGTGCCCCTCCTCCTTCTCCACTCCCCCCTGCCCTGTGCCCACCATCAGATGAACGCAGTGGTGGCGGAGCTCATGGTGCTGGCCAATGCTGCCGTCGCCCGCAAGCTCACCCGGTGAGAACCCCAACCTTCTTTCTGTCATTGTTGCATGCTCGTGCCCTGTCTTACTCTGCAATTCGATTGCACTTTCGTTCCTTCTACTTTCCCCACCCCCATCATGGTTTGTTGGAACGGAGCCAGGGCCTTCCCATCGACCGCCTTTCTGCGGCGCCACGCTCCTCCTCGCCCAAACGGCTTCCGCCATCTCATGCATGTGAGGGTGGTGAGGTCAAGCAGGTGTGCGTGCTGTGTGATGCATGTGGATGATGGTGGGGTGAACAAGGTCTGAGTGCTGTGTCATGTATGTGGGTGATATGGCGTGACGGCAGCATGGCATGCAGATCACCCGCTAACAAGCATCAAACTTTGCACTTTTTTATTCTATATAAGCCTCTGTAAACTCTTCAGTGGTTTCATGTGTGTCAATGCCCTGTGTTGCACCTTTTCTTCTATTCTTGTCTCTGTGTGCCCTCCTCTCAGTGCTGCGCGGTGCGAGGCATTGCACTAAAAACGTCAACAAACAAGGTCAGCATTCATCCAAGGCGCATGGAACAACTGAATTTTGAACCTTTCACATCGTTTCTTTCCAAGGAGTCATGCAAGCAATCATACTAGCTTGGAAAATGTTATTGAACGTTCTGCATGCCCCTTTCGTGCTTGCCTCCCCTTCCCTTCACTACTCTACTCTCCTTTTCTCTCCTCCCTTCTCCTTTTCATGTCCTCTCCTGTCCTCTCCTCTCCTCCCCTCCCCTCCCCTCCCCTCCCCTCCCCTCCCCTCCCCTCCCCTCCCCTCCCCTCCCGCCCCCTCCCCTCCCCTCCCCTCCCCTCCCCTCCCCTCCCCTCCCCTCCCCTCCCCTCCCCTCCCCTTCCCTCACTCTTCTCCCCTCCCCTGCCCTCCCTTCTTTTGAGCAATAAACCCCATCATCACTCCCCACCTCCCTCCCAACAGGCGCTAGCAGCGTCGCTGGCAGCAGTGAAGCACCTGGGAGACCCCGTCCTGGATGTGAGCTCCACACCAAACCCTTCGTTGGAGTAGACTCATGAAGCTCCTTCTCTAACTCCCCTTCCGCTTGCCGCTACCTTGGATGCTCTCTCTTAAATTGTCTGCACTCTTAAGAAGAAAACATTCCCTAACTTGATGCTCGTTCTCCAGCTGTGGTCCCCTGCTGCCATGCCTTGCATATGTCTCACCCCTTTCATACATGTCTCCCGCATATCTGCTTGCTTGTCTCTTCCGCATCATCATTTCATGGCTGTTGTTGCAGTACGGGCTCAAGGCTCTCACCACGCATGCACTCTCAGAGGTGAGACACGCAGACGAGACACGCAGATGAGACATGGAGATGAGACATGGAGATGAGACATGGATATGAGACATGGAGATGAGACATGGATATGAGACATGGATATGAGACATGGAGATGAGACATGGATATGAGACATGGAGATGAGACATGGATATGAGACATGGAGATGAGACATGGAGATGAGACATGGATATGAGACATGGATATGAGACATGGAGATGAGACATGGATATGAGACATGGATATGAGACATGGAGATGAGACATGGATATGAGACATGGAGATGAGACATGGATATGAGACATGGATATGAGACATGGATATGAGACATGGAGATGAGACATGGATATGAGACATGGATATGAGACATGGAGATGAGACATGGATATGAGACATGGATATGAGACATGGATATGAGACATGGAGATGAGACATGGATATGAGACATGGATATGAGACATGGATATGAGACATGGATATGAGACATGGAGATGAGACATGGATATGAGACATGGATATGAGACATGGATATGAGACATGGAGATGAGACATGGATATGAGACATGGATATGAGACATGGAGATGAGACATGGATATGAGACATGGATATGAGACATGGATATGAGACATGGATATGAGACATGGAGATGAGACATGGATATGAGACATGGATATGAGACATGGATATGAGACATGGATATGAGACATGGATATGAGACATGGATATGAGACATGGATATGAGACATGGATATGAGACATGGATATGAGACATGGATATGAGACATGGATATGAGACATGGATATGAGACATGGATATGAGACATGGAGATGAGACATGGATATGAGACATGGATATGAGACATGGAGATGAGACATGGATATGAGACATGGATATGAGACATGGATATGAGACATGGAGATGAGACATGGATATGAGACATGGAGATGAGACATGGATATGAGACATGGATATGAGACATGGATATGAGACATGGAGATGAGACATGGATATGAGACATGGATATGAGACATGGAGATGAGACATGGATATGAGACATGGAGATGAGACATGGATATGAGACATGGATATGAGACATGGATATGAGACATGGAGATGAGACATGGATATGAGACATGGATATGAGACATGGATATGAGACATGGAGATGAGACATGGATATGAGACATGGATATGAGACATGGATATGAGACATGGAGATGAGACATGGATATGAGACATGGAGATGAGACATGGATATGAGACATGGATATGAGACATGGAGATGAGACATGGATATGAGACATGGAGATGAGACATGGATATGAGACATGGATATGAGACATGGATATGAGACATGGATATGAGACATGGAGATGAGACATGGATATGAGACATGGATATGAGACATGGATATGAGACATGGAGATGAGACATGGATATGAGACATGGATATGAGACATGGATATGAGACATGGATATGAGACATGGAGATGAGACATGGATATGAGACATGGAGATGAGACATGGATATGAGACATGGATATGAGACATGGAGATGAGACATGGATATGAGACATGGATATGAGACATGGATATGAGACATGGATATGAGACATGGATATGAGACATGGATATGAGACATGGAGATGAGACATGGATATGAGACATGGATATGAGACATGGAGATGAGACATGGATATGAGACATGGATATGAGACATGGATATGAGACATGGATATGAGACATGGATATGAGACATGGAGATGAGACATGGATATGAGACATGGATATGAGACATGGATATGAGACATGGAGATGAGACATGGATATGAGACATGGATATGAGACATGGATATGAGACATGGATATGAGACATGGAGATGAGACATGGATATGAGACATGGATATGAGACATGGATATGAGACATGGAGATGAGACATGGATATGAGACATGGATATGAGACATGGAGATGAGACATGGATATGAGACATGGATATGAGACATGGATATGAGACATGGATATGAGACATGGATATGAGACATGGATATGAGACATGGATATGAGACATGGATATGAGACATGGATATGAGACATGGAGATGAGACATGGAGATGAGACATGGATATGTGAGAGGAAAAAAGGGAAGACGCAATGGGATGTGGTGGCACCATGCATGCACGCACCTTCATTCATGTGCGTATGCTCGCACGCACATTCATTCGTGCGTATGCGCGCATTTTGCAAACTTGCAACATCCTTGTGCCATGCACACGCCAACCTTATGTCATCCCCATTGTATCCACATGCACATCAGGCGGAGTACCTGCCAGCATCAGCGGCAGCAGCGGACGGCATCGGGGCTCATCACTACGGCCTCGCAGTGGAGTGAGTGGCATGTGTCGAGTCGAGGTGACTATAGGATCGAGTGAGTTATGATAATCTCAAAATTCACCTGAAAAGTACCACGTGTATACAGTGAATTTCTGAGACGTCTCAAAAAATCACTGTATACACTATGTAGTCGACGGCAGCTTCGTTATTGAGGGACTCTTCTAGTATGAGGAGGTCATGTTTGGAAGTTGGGAGAGTGTAAGGAATTGTAATTCCTTACTGTACTCACACTTTTGCGAGTACATCCCGAGGGTCACGCAACCCTCACGTTCGGCCTATTTCCTCGCACCGAACCACTCCCGAGTACCTGGCGTTGGAGAGAATGCACTCGTCCCTTTAGAATCAACGCACGAGTCACCTTGTCACAAGTGCATTTACTCGGAGGATAATAGCAGCAGCAAGTGGCATCAGGAGGACATATCACTACTCCCTGGCAGTGGGGAATCGGTGGCATGTCCCGGTCTCTCACTCTCCCAGAGCCACTTACAATCCGACCTGCCAAAAAGTGTAGAAACGTCCTCCGTGCCATCCCTCCCTCCCTCCAGCCTAGACTCCCACTTCACCTCCTCCATCTGCCGCTGTGCTGACCTGCCATGCACCCGCAGTAGTTTGCTACTCTGAGTTTATTCAACACTCTCTTTCCAGGGCACTTTGCTGCCCCATTTCCAAGTCGATTCTCAAGGGAAACTCCGTTTTCACCCCATTTCCACTCACGCCCTTCCCATCCCTCCCATCCTCCAGCCTCTACTCCCATTTCACCTCCCCCATCCGTCACTACACTGACCTGCTAGTGCACCCACAGCTGCTGCTGCTCTCAGTTGATTCAACACTCCTTCCTGCCTCCCTCTCCGCTCCTCTCCTTCCCTTACTCTCCTTCCCCTCTCCCCTCCGTCCCTCGCCCCCCTCCAGCCTCTACTCCCACTTCACCTCGCCCATTCGCCGCTATGCTGACCTGCTGATGCACTGGCAGTTTCCGCTCAAAGCTGATTTGACACTCCATTCTGCTTCCCTCTCCCCTCCCATCCTTCCCTCGCCTCCCTCCAGCCTCTACTCCCACTTCACCTCGCCCATTCGCCGCTATGCCGACCTGCTCGTGCACCGGCAGCTGTTGGCAGCACTGCAGCAAGGGAAGCGGGATCGTGGGGAGGCGGGCGGGAAGCAGGGAGGGAGAGGTACTGTCCAGGGGGCGGATGGGAAGGGGGGGACTGTTGAAGAGGGAAACGGGGATGGAGGGAGGGGACAGGGCGGAGCAGGGGAAGGGGGGGCAGAAGGAGGAGGGCGGTCGGGTAGGGGAGGAGGTGGGAGGAGGAAGGCGTGGGGTGCTGCAGCCAGAGTGTGGGGAGGGGAGGGAGTAAGGGAGGAGGAGGGAGTGGGGGCGGGGGTGGGGGCGGGGGTGGGGGTGGGGGAGGGGGATGCAGCGGAAGGGAGGGAGGGCAGAGCTGAGCAAAACAAAGTGGGGGTTGAGGGCGAGGAGGGAGACGGAAGGAGGGAGGAGACGGTGGAGCGAGAGTCACGAGGCGTTGACTGGGACAAGGTGAGGACATTAAAAAGCAAAAAATTAACAAAAGAAAATGACAAAATAACAAACCAACAAAACTATAACTGAAACAAAAGAAAGCAAACAACCAATCAACAAACCACAAAGGAGAACGATGCACACAAAAGGAGGAAGCAACGCAGGTGTCACTCATATCCCACCTGGCTAGCTCCTCCCGCAGCCTTTCCCCGCTGAGCCCACGTGCAGTACTCAAGTAAGCGCAAGCGAGCACAAGCACAGGCGTACTCTCGTACCATGGTGTGGTGCCATGCACAGGCGTACTCTCGTACCATGGTGTGGTGCCATGCACAGGCGTGCAACCCCCTCGACAGCTCCCCTCTCCCTTATTTCCTCCACCACACCTGCTCGCTGTACACCATCTCACACAGCATTTTCTGTGATCTCGGCTCCGTCCCTCTTCTTCCCTCCTTCCCCTCTCCTTCCCTTACCCCCCCACCACAGATAGCGGCCCATCTGAACAGCAGCACTGCCTGGCAAAGCTAGCATCAAAGCGGAACGTGAGCTCTGTCTCCTGCTGCCTGTGCTGACTCATATCCCCTTCTCTCTTTCTCTTGCATCCTCCCCTTTCCCACTCTCTTTCTCCCCCGCCCCATTCCCAGCTAGCGGCCCATCTGAACAAGCAGCACCGGCTGGCAAAGATGGCGTCAAAGAGGAGCGCCGAACTCTGCCTGCTGCTGCTGCTGCGAGATCAGCCCTTGGTGGAGCGCGCTGTGGTGAGCAGAAGGGGGTGGGGGGGTAGGTTTCTGGGGGGGGGAGGGGAGGAGGAAGGGGGGTATTTTCACTGCCAGCCGCTGCTGCTGCTGCTGCGGGATCAGCCCTTTGTGGAGCGCACTGTGGTGAGGAAGGGGGGCGAGGAGCACGGGAGGGGTGGTTGGTATGGGGGAGGCAAGGGGTTGGCTTTGCTGCCATCTTCTGCTGAAGGAGGAGATTTGGTGAAGTGGGTTGTGGGGAGGAGTAGCATGGCGAGGGAGCAAGGGGGGGGGTGAATTGAAGCGATGGGTGTTCCACCACGGGAGGTGTTCCATTACAACCAGTTTGGTGCTCTACGCTGGTGCCCCTGTCTGTTGAAAATACCATCGCACAGTGTTTGCAATCCCTGAATTCGCTCATTTGTTTTACGCCTCTTCAACCCCCCTCCTCCTTCCAAGTGAAAGCAGGGCAAGGAGGGCATGGCAATACGGAGGGCATGGAAGGTGGAGGAGGGCAGCGGCGCTTTCAGATTCTCTCCGCACTCCTTCCGTCCTCCCATCTTAATAGGACACGGATGGCATGGCAGTGCTACCATGAAAGCACACGGACTGGGAAACAGAGCAGGCGGAGCAGCAGCAGTTCCGGCACCGCCTGCGAGTGAGAGTGGAGACCAGCAATAGCCGACGCGTGGCGCGGGAGAATCTGGGGGTCACTGCTGGTGCCGCTGCTGCTGCTGCTGCTGGTGATGGGGATGAGGAGGTGGAGGAGGAGGGGATGGAGGGGGAGGAGGGGGAGGAGGAGGGTCGTGAGGGGCAGAGCGGCATGGATGTGGACGCGCCTGCATGTGTGAAGATTGTGGTGCGTGCATATGTGGTGTGGTGTGGTGTGGTATGGTGCACATGACATGTGGCACATGGCATGGAGCACATGGCAAACAGCACACGATCAACCACCACATCTGATCATGACATGCCACACCGTGCAACACCACATGTTATCCATTCTTTCCAGCTCTCATCTTCTCCAACCACCAAGCCGTCGCCTCCCCTCCCCTCCCCTACCCTCCCTCCCCTCCCCTCGTTCTCTGTATCCCTACCTTCTTTCGTGCTGCATGATTCCAAGCCAGGGTCATGCCATGTCATGCCAGGCACTGCCTCTTGAGCCTTTTTGCCACAATTCACATTCTCTGCAAAACACACCAATTCTCCCCTCTCTTCATTCTCTTCACTCTCCCCTGCTCCCTCCCGTTCCTCCCCCCCCCGCCCCCCCCCTCCTCTCTCTGTTGCTTTCCCAGGATTTCCAGCAGGGCTTTTCTGTTGTTGAGTACTGGCTCTTCCAGACCCTCTGGGTCCAGCTGTCAGCCTCAGGTGATTTCTCAGGTTCAGGTGATTTTCCAAGCTCAGATGGATCCCAATTTCAAGGTGACATTGCTTTCTTCTGAAGGAGAGTTAACAAGCCAAGTCACATTCTCAATCAATATAAGTAAAACAAAAACAAAAACAAACACACACACACACACACACAGTTTTTCTTGGGAACATTATTCTGACAACTGACCAGCACGTGCACCTCCTTCACCTGTCTATCTCCTTCCCCCCTCCCTCCACCCTCAACCCCCACTCCTCCCATTTTTCCACCTCCTCCTTTCGCAGGCTCCATCGCTCACTTCCCCACCCTCAAGATGGAGACACTGGCTCCATCGATCCCACTCTTTAGACTGCCACAGATTTACTTGAAACACAGTTCCTTGTTCTCCCTCCCTTCCCTCCCTCCCAGGCTTCCCAACCCTTAAGATGGAGATAGATACTGGCAGATGAGCCAGTAAAGGTGCTTCTAATATCTCCCGCTTCAAGCACACTCCTTTCTTCGCCCTCCCGCCCTCCCAGGTGTTGTAAAGGACTCTCCTCTACTTTGCAGGAACTGGGATTTGTACTAAACGATGGAGCACTCTGTTGGCTTTCCAACGAGCCGTAGAACACGTCGATCGCCTAAGTATCCGCCGAGATATAGGCGTTCACGTGCTAGGTGGTGCTCTTAGAACGTAGGATAGGAGCTCTCTGGATTTTGTGTCGACTTGCACTGTGTACAAAGTGATTCTCGATTTCAGTATATTGCATGCAATACAAAGCACACATATATATATGAACTGCAAACATCGTGTCGCACATGTAACCTCGAACCGCGGTACACTCGAATGTTCGAGTAACATCGAAGGGGTGAAATTCGACACTCGAATTTCACTCATTCGAATGTTCCTTCAAGTCCCGAACTTTCTGGTGCTGCCATGTGGCACCGAATCAATTGGTCTTCCGAAGTCAAACTTCAGCTCCACGCAAATCTGCAGCTCACTCGAAGGTGAGCACCATTCGGTGGTTGGGGGCAAACCTCCCCCCCCACGCAACCTCCAACACTCCCCCTTGCACCCAAGCCACTAGAAGTTCAATCCAACACGCTCACAGCATGCACGGAATGAATCCTTAGGGAGTGGTTTAGTGAGGAAGTCCGCGGGTTGAGCTTTGGTGCTTATGTAAGTGAGTTTGACCTCACCCTTCTCAACCGCCTCACGAATGAAGTGATGCTTCACTTCGATATGCTTGGTTCGCCCGTGAAGGACGGCGTTGTGAGAGAGGCTTATGGCGGCTTGGTTGTCACAAAAGAGAGGAGTTGGGTTCATTTGAGGATGCCCAAGCTCCGCTAGAAGACGCCGTAACCATATCGCCTCCATGGCACCTTGAGTGAGTGCCATATACTCCGCTTCCGTTGAGCTTAGAGCCACGGTTGGTTGCTTCTTGCTTTGCCAACTCACGGCTGCCCCAAGCAAGGTGAAGACGTACCCGGAGGTACTCTTGCGCGTGCTCGGATCTCCCGCGTAGTCCGAGTCGGCATACCCCTTGAGTTCGATAGGGCCGGCTTCATACACGAGCCCCAAGTTAGGTGTGCCTTGGAGGTAGCGTAGAACGCGTCCTCCCGCACGCACGTGCTTGGTATGAGGGTTGCTCACGACTCGTCCAAGCACCCCGGCGGCGTATGCGAGGTCGGGACGAGTAGAAACGGCGGCATACATGAGCGAGCCCACTAGCGAATGAAACCGCTTCCCTTCGGCTTCGTCGAGGGTGGATTCTTCCTCTCCCGTGAGGGTAGAAAATCCCGTAGCTAGTGGTGTTCCCACCGGTTTGCTATTGCCCATGCCGAAGCTCTCCACTACCCCCTTCACATATTTCTCTTGGTGGAGGTGGATGGTCCCGTTGGTTCGGTCACGGTCGACGTGCATCCCAAGGTAGTACGTGACCGGCCCCAAGTCCCTCATTGCAAACTCCGCCCCTAGCCGTTGTTTGACCTCCCGAATGAGGTCTTTGGAGTCGGAGAAGAGGAGTAGGTCATCGACGTAGAGCAAAAGCACCAATTGCTTCTCCCCCTCCTTCAACACGTGTAAAGCGCTATCGCACTCGCTACGCGCGAAGCCGTGTTGAAGAAGAAAGTCATCGATGCGCTTGTACCATCCGCGTGGACTTTGCTTTAAGCCGTAGAGGGTACGCTTGAGCTTCCACACCCTTCCGCTACCGTCATCGTACCCCGGGGGTTGACGCATGTAGACTTCTTCCATAAGAAGCCCGTAGAGGAAGGCGGTGCAAACGTCCAATTGCTCCACCTCGAGGTTGAGAGATGCCGCTAGCGCGAGCAACACCCGAAGAGTTGTAGCCTTAGCGACGGGAGCGAAGGTCTCGCTATAGTGCTCCCCCTCCCGTTGAGTGTAGCCTTGAGCTACAAGCCTCGCCTTGTAGCGTTCGACACTCCCATCGGCTCCCAACTTCTTCTTAAGCACCCATTTGCACCCCACCAAGTAGGCACCTTTCGGCGGGTCGACGAGCTCGAACACGTCGTTCTCTTTGATCGAGGCTAGTTCCTTCTCCATCGCTTGTTTCCATAGTGGCGCATCCGGAGAAGCCAAAGCCTTGGTATGGGTGCGAGGGTCATCACCCAAGGTTGCGAAGCAATATGCCGCACGCTCCTCGTCCAACTCCCCAACGGCTACCATAGCGTAGTCGTTGTACTTCGTGTTGGGGCGACGTGTACGTTGCTCGCGTGTCAACGCCAATGGGAGGGAGGAAGGTGTCGAGGAAGTTGCCGCCTCGGTTGGTGACACCTCCACCACGTCGTCGTCGCTCTCCTCATTCTCTCCCCCTCCATTTTCGGCTTCCTTTTCCACTTGTGATGGAACCTCCACCGCTTCATCCTCCTCTCGTGCGGGAAGGACGACGGTGAGTTGCGGCGTTGGTTGTTCCTTCGTCGGGAACTTGTCTTCGTCGAAGACCACATCCCGAGACGTGACGACACGCTTGTCGCCCAAGTCCCACACTCGCCACGCACGCTCGTTCGCCGCAATTCCCAAGTAGATCGCCGCACGAGCCTTCGGTTGCAACTTGTGGCGAAGGGGATCCGGTACATGGTAGTAGCAAAGGCACCCAAAGGTGCGTAGGCGTGATATGTTCGGCTTCGTTCCGGTCCATGCTTCGAACGGAGTCGTTCCCGGGAGCACCTTTGTCGGCAAACGGTTGCGAATCCACGCCGCTAACGAACTCGCCTCACCCACCACTTGCTCCCAAGCTTGGAGTGTTGAAGAAGAGAACGAACCGCTTCCACCAACGTGCGATTAAGCCGCTCCGCCGCTCCATTTTGTTGGGGTGTGTAGGGTGTTGTGACATCATGCTTGATGCCCTTGCTCTTCATCCATTTCGCAAGCTCGTTGTTCACGAATTCGCCACCACCATCGGTGCGAATAGCCTTGATCCGCTTCTTGTCGTCGTCGCAAACTTCGAGCGCCCAATCTTGAATCGCCTTGGCCGCATCGCCCTTTGCCTTCAAGAGCTGGGTCCAACACATCCGCGTCGCGTCGTCGAGCATCACCAAGAGGAACCGCGCTCCTCCCTTTGATGCATGTCGCATCGGTCCACACACGTCCATGTGAACAAGCGCAAGCGGGTCCTTAGCGAGGGGTGACGTTCGGCTACCGAATGGCTTGCGAGCCATTTTTCCTTCGACACACGCCGCGCACACGCCCTTCTCGTTGTCGCCGGCGATCACGTCGACTCCCTTCGCAAGTCCTTTGTTGGCCAACTCCTTGACCGAGTCGTAGTTGGCGTGCGCAAGCCGATTATGCCACGCCTTGAGAGTTGCCTTGGATCCTTGCGCAACGTTGGATGAAGCCGCTCTCGGGTGCGTCTTGAGTTGGTAGAGTTCTCCGTTGAGAACGCCTTGTGCGAATTGCTTCCCCTTCCAAAAGAGGTTCATCGTCGCGCCATCGATGGTGACCTTCACGTCCTTCTTCGCGAGTTGAGTGACGGAGAGTAGATTCACCTTCAACCCCGGGACGTGAAGCACGTTCGTGATGTCCACCGGTCCGCCATCGACGATGAGACGCGTACTCCCAACTCCGACCACTGGTAGCGACTTGTTGTTTCCGAAGACGACACGCGTGACGTCTCCCGGTGCACCAACGTTGGTGAGGAACGATGCCGAGTGCGTCATGTGTTGTGTTGCGCCGGTGTCGAGGAACCACGCATCGCTTGGTGTGTTGTTCCCGTCACCGGCCAATAACACTATCGACTCCCTTGTATCATCCGCCTCGCCGGATGCCGTGTGCGCGTTGCCCTCGTGGTTCCGCGCCTTTGATGGAGTCCAATCGCTCGGCCGCTTCCGACACTCACGCCAAAAGTGTCCCGCTTTGCCGCAATAGTGGCACTTGCTCACGCCGTTCGATGTGTTTCCCTTGCTGCGATCGCTTCCTCCGGGCGACTTCTTCGTCGCGCCCTTGTTCCACTTGGACTTTCCTCCGGAACTCCCTCCGGAGAACATGGCGGCACCCTCGCTCTCATTAGCGAATTGTCGGCGACGCGATTCTTCATGGAGAAGCCGACCGACCACCATTTCCTTCGTCCAAGTGTCTTGCGCGCTATCGAGTGTCGTAATCACCGTCGACCACTCTTCCGGAAGGCCGCAAAGCAAGGTCAAAATCCAATCCTCCTCCGTGACCGTTCCACCGAGGTCCATGAACGATTCCCCGAGTTCCTCCACACGAGTCGCATACTCGTGCATTGATTCGCCCACGCGCATCTTCACCGTGTAGAACGCATTCCGGGCTAGGATCTTGCCGTGGAGAGTCTTGTTCACGTGGATGGTCTCGAGCCGCTTCCACGCTTCATGCGCCGACGCTTCGAGCTTGATGCACATGCGCACCGAGCTCACAAGATTGATGCCGATGCGCGAAATCAACGTAGCGAACGCCTTTTGGTCCTTCTTCTTCCATGCCGCGATGCCGCTCTCGTCGTCCGGCTTCTTCTCCGTTCCATCGAAGAAACCCCAAAGTCCCCGCTCCATCATGAGCACTTGGAACTTAAACTTCCACGCGGAGTAATTTTGTCCCGTGTAAAAAAAATTTCCGCCGACGTGTCGAACATCGTCGCGGTTGCCCAGGGTTCGCCGGAATTTACAACGACACCATCCAAGGAAGTGCGGGAGGCCTCGCTTGAAGTCGGCATGCTTGCTCCTTGTCGCACGCGTAGACTCCTCCAACCTGGCTCTGATACCACTGTTGTAAAGGACTCTCCTCTACTTTGCAGGAACTGGGATTTGTACTAAACGATGGAGCACTCTGTTGGCTTTCCAACGAGCCGTAGAACACGTCGATCGCCTAAGTATCCGCCGAGATATAGGCGTTC